TAGAAAAACATTAAATAGCTAAAAATACCAGGTATTGGTAATTATGTGGAGCAATGGAAACTTATACTGCTGGTTGAAATATAATCACTACAACTACTTTGGAAAAAATCTGACATTATCTGGTAAAGATGAAAATATCTATTCCACTCCTAAGTATATATCCTGGAAAACTCTTGCGTATATATAACAAGGGACTTGCTGTGCAGAGTTAACATAGCAGGCATGATGTTTAGAAGTGCCTGCTTGCAGGGCTGGCCCTTGGCTAGCCTCTGGGAATTCAGCTTTTGAAAAGTTCCCAGTGCTTATAAACCTGTCTGAACGGCTGAGGCACTGAACCCTGCTGTACAAGCTTGTATAGACTGTACAACAGTATAATTTCTGGTGAACACCTGCTTTTCATTCTGTTGTTGTTAGGTGCTGTCAAGTCGGTTCCAACTCACAGCGACTCTATGTACAACAGAATGAAACACTGCTTGGTCCTGGGCCATTGTCACTATGGTTGCTATGTTTGAGCCCATTGCTGCAGCCACTGTGTCAATCCATCTCATAGAGGGTCTTCCTATTTTTCACTGAGCCTCTACCTTACCAAGCATGCTGTCCTTCTCCAGAGACTGGTACCTCCTGACAACATGTCCAAAGTACGTGAGACGAAGTCTCCCATCCTTGCTTCCAAGGAGCACTCTAGCTGTACTTCTTCCCAAGACAGACTTGTTCGTTCGTCTGGCAGTAGGTGGTATATTCAATATTCTTCACCAACACCACAATTCAAATGAATTAATTCTTCGGTCTTCCTTATTCATTGTCCAGCTTTCACATGCATATGAGGTGATTGAAAATATCATGGTTTTGGTCAGGTGTACCTTAGTCCTTCAAGTGACATCGATGCTTTTCAACACTTTAAAGAGGTCTTTTGCAGCAGATTTGCCCAATGCAATATGTCATTTGATTTCTTGACTGCTGCTTCCATGAGTGTTGACTGTGGGTCCAAGTAAAATGAAATCCTTGACAGCTTCAGCATTTTCTCTGTCTATCATGATGTTGCTTATTGGTCCAGTTGTGAGGATTTTTGTTTTCTTTATGTTGACGTGAAATCCATACTGAAGGCTGTAGTCTTTGATCCTCATCAGTAAGTGCTTAACTTACTAGGAAGTATCTTAACCCGATCACTTTAAAAAAAAAAAATTCACCAATAAAGACTTTATTTCATTGTTTTTGTTTTTTTTTAATATTTTATTGTGTTTTATGTGAAAGTTTACACAGCAAATTGGGTACCCATTTAACAATTTTTATACAAATTGTTCTGTGACGGTCACAATTTTCACAATGTGTCAGTATTCTCATTATTTCCATTCTGTTTGTTCTCTTTCCATTGATTCAGTTTCCCTGCCCCTCCTTGCCTTCTTATCTTTGCTTTTGGGTAAATGTTGACCATTTGGTCTCATATAGTTGATTATTTAAGGGAGCACATTACTCACAGGTGACACTGCTTATTTTATATGCCAATCTATTATTCGGCTAAAGGGTGACCTCCAGGAGTGGCTTCAGTTCAAAGCTCAAAGGGTATCTCAGGGTGATAGTCTCGGGAGTTCCTCTGGTTTCTATTGGTCCAGTAAGTCTGGCCTTTTTTAGGAATTTGAGTTTTGTTCTACATTTTTCTCCCTTTCTACGCAGGACCTTCTATTGTGTCCCTAGTCAGAATAGTCAGTCAGTAGTGGTAGCCAGGCACCATCTAGTTCTTCTGGCCTCAGGCTAGAAGAGGCCGTGGTTCATGTGGACTAGTTTCTTCTTTGCCTCTTTGGTTTCCTTTATTCTCTTTTGCTCCAGATGAGTAGAGACCAATAGTTGTATCTTAGATGGCCACTCTCAAGCTTTTAAGACTCCAGATGTTACTCTGCAAACTACGATGTAGAACATTATTTTTATGAACTATGTTATGCCAATTGACTGAGTTGTCCCATGAGACTATGGTCCTAAGCCCTTTAACCCAGTAAACCAATCCCCTGAGGTGTTTGGATATGTCTAGGAAATCTCCATAACTGTGCCCCCTACGTGTTTTATTATATATATGAATATATATGCAGCACACTCAAACATGTATATACATATGCCTACAGATACACCTATACATGATGCACGCGCACGTACTCACATATGCCTTCCTATACACATATATACATACATTTATACCTATGTAACCATACTTATATTTTTTGGTTGTTATTACTATTGTTGCAAAATTGTATATGTTATAGCATTTATCAAAATTGTCCCTTATTCTTACTTACTTCTTAGTGTCTTCATTTGCCTTGGTCAAGTTGTGCAGACTTCACCCATATTGGGTACTGCCTTTCCCATCACCAAAAATAACAAGTGTCTACTATCTAGATAATAATTTCCCCTTCCTCCCCCTCCCATCCCCAGTAACCATTAAAGAACGTTGCTTTCTGTGCGTATATCTATTCTTGACTTTTAATAAAAGTGAGACCATACAATATTTGTCCTTTTATGATTGACTTATTTCACTCAGCGTAACGTCCTCCAGATTCATCCATGTTGTAAGAATTTCGCCAACTCCTCATTATTCTTTATAGTTGCATAGTATTCCAATGAGTGTATATACCACAATTTTCCATAGTGATTGTACTATTTTACAATCCCACTAGCAGTGTACAAGTTCCAATCTCCCCACAACCTCATCAGGATTTGTTGTTGTTTTCTGTTTTTTTGATCACTGCCATTTTTGCAGGGGTGAGATGGTATCTCATTGCAGTTTTGATTTGCATCTCTAATGGCTAATGATCACAAGCACCTTTTCATGTTTGTCAGCTGTCGGAATGTTCTCTTTGGTGAAGTGTCTGCTCATGTCCTTTGCCCTTTTTTTTACTGGATTGTTTGTCTTTTTGTTGTTGAAGTTTTCTATGTATTTTATAGTTAGACTCTTGTCAGATATGTTGCTGCCGAAGATTTTTTTCCCAGTCTGTAGGTTCTCTTTTTACTCTTTTTGGTAAAGCCTTTTGATGAGTATAAGTACTTTTTAGAAGGTCCCAGTTATCTAATTTATCTTCTGTTGTTTGTGTATTTTTAGTTGTGTTTGACAGACTATTTATGCTAAAAATTAGGTCCCCTAGTTTTGCCCTGATGTTATCTTCCAGGAACTTTACAGTTTTAGCTTTAACATTTAGGTCTCTGATCCATTTTGAGTTAGTTTTTGTGTATGGGGTGAGGTATGGATCCTGTTTCATTTTTTTGCAAATGGATATCCAGTTTTGCCAGCACCATTTGTTAAAGAGGCTACTTCTTCCCCATTGAATGGACTTGGACCATTTGTCAAAGATCGGCTGCCCACAGACGGATGGATTTACTTCTGGGTTCTCAACTCCATTCCATTGGTCTATGTGTCTGCCATTGAACCAGTACCAGACTATTTTGATTACCATGGCTGCATAGTAAATTTTGAGATTGGGAGGTGTGAGACCCCCTACTTTGTTCTTCCTCTTCAATACTGTTTTAGCTATTTGGGGCCTCTTTCCCTTCCATATAAAGAAGGACATTAGTTCTCCATTTCATTAAAGAAGGCTGTTGGGATTTGAATTCGGGATTGCATTATACAGGCAGTCCCTGGGTTACAAACGTCCAACTTACAGACAACTTGTACTTGCCCTTTAATGTTATGTAAATTTGCCCTCACTTTGAAACAATTGAACCAACCCCTACTGGCAACAAATTCTTCATCACAATCATCTTCACTTGCTGTACATGCAGCTTTTAAATCACTGAAAAGCCTTCAAGCCTCTTCTTGCGTTAAAGTAAGCTAAATAAGAACCTTATGCACCTTTTCTAACTTACATACAAATTTGACTTAAAGACTACACAGTTAGGAATGGATCTTGTCGTAACCTGGGGACTGCCTGTATCTACTGATTGCTTTGGATAGAACTGACATTTTCACAATCTTAAGTCTTCCAATCCATAAGCATGGAATGTTTTCCCAGTTATGTAGGTCTCTTATGGTTTCTTGCAGCAGTGTTTTACAGTTTTCCTTGTATAAGTCTTTAACATCCCTGGTTAGGTTTATTCCTAGGTATTTTATCCTTTTGTTAACCCAATCACTTATGAGATATAAAAGAGCAGATCAGGCATAGAAGCAAGCAAGTACAGATGGAGGAAGACAGATGCCACGCCACATGAAGATCACCAAGAAACTGAAGAATAGTAGCTAAAAACAGATAAGGACCTTCCCCTAGAGCTGACAGACAGAGAAACTTCCCACAGAGCTTCGATGGCAACCAACGGAACAACAGAGCCGGTGCCCTAAATTTAGACTTCTAGCCTCCAAAACTGTAGAAAAACTAAGACACTACAAGAAAGAGAACTGTGGAACACCATCAAGCATACCAACGTATGCATACGAGAGTCCCAGAGGGAGACTAGAGAAAAGGACAGAAAGAATACTTGAAGAAATAATGGCAAAAGCTTCCCAAATTTGGTGAAAAAAATCTACACATTCAAGATGCTCAATAAACTCTAGCAGGAGGAAAAAAAAAAAAAAAGATTATCAAAAGAAGAGGAAAATAGATCAGCGGTTGCCCAAGAGCTGGGGGTAGAGGAGTAGTTGATTTGATTACAAAGATGCGTGAGGAAATTGGAGGGGGTGATAAACTGTTCAATATCTTGATTTTGGTTATGGTTACACAACTATATGCATTTGTAAAAACACATAGAACTGTATACTAAAAAGGGTGAATTTAACTGCATGTAAATTACATCTCATTTAAAAGGGCAGAGACAGTAAAGTATTGCCAAATGAAATCTTAGCTTTCTTCAACTTGGAAATAATTGACTTCCCTTTTATTCATGTTTCAACGATCTTTCATTAATATTTTCAATGATTTAGGAATTCATTTAATTTGCAAGCACATACTTGAGTTCATGTTAGATTCCAGGTGTTTGAATAATTGAGATTATATACGCTGTTTTAAATAGCAATCAAAATAACCAACCTGTGGTGTCTGGGGAGTGGCCACACCTGTTGATGAATTATCTTCACACCATTCATAGTCTATTAATCCAATCGCATAATTTTCGTCACTTGTGGTCACATCTTCCAGACTCAGATTCTTTGACTGTTCAATTAAAATACAGAAGAATTTAGAGACAACAGCAACATGATTCAAGTTTTAAAACATTATATTCCAGGCACAGAGTAAGGCCTTGGAAGAAGAAATGAATGAGAGATAGTATATTCAAGGTTCACCACTGGATACAGAAAACAGGAAGTCAGAACAATTTGTACCAGTTTTAGGTAGGAGAATCTCTGGCTCTCAAACAATATGTCTTGGAACAGTTTTATGTTACATATGCTACTTAGCTTATCATTATCAGACAATCGCTATAATACCAGATGAATAACTCCTTGGCCAACATAAATAAAAGGCTCTCACAGAGTAGAAAGTAGAAAGGAAACAACTTTGAGAGAGAGCGCCGAATCCTAACCACTAGACCACCAGGGAGCGTCAGAAACAACTTTGAAATATAGGTTTCTTAGCTATAAGAACATACTGAGCAGTTAATAATTTCTAACGAAAATAAGTTAGCCTTATGAAAGATCTCCTGCAGGCAGGAGATTTGGGATCCTGTGCTAACACTTCTACCAGAATAATTTATTTTCCCTCATTCTTCCCCACTTAAAAAAACAAAGCAAATGCTAAATATACCCGAAACTCTAAGACTGTGGGATACAACTGCATTTTTATTTCTCCCTTTTTCAATTTCCCTGAACATCTAGTTAACCCAACCAGACAATTCTACTTGAATTTCTTCCATCTCTTCCCTTCCTTTCCAGTCTCACTGCCATTGTCCTAGTTCAAGGACAAATCCTCTCATATCTGGCTATTCAATGAGACAATCTGGTCTCCGCCACCGATCTCTACCCCCTCTCAAACACAGATAACAGAGTTCCCTATGGTTGCCAATTATCATCAATTAGGAATGGCTGCGTCGAGTGCTACGTTGAGAATGATTCTAAAGCTTAGTTTAGACTCAGTGGGGAAAAGTACCATGATGTATGAATGATGGCTGTCATGGGTACTACAGTGGGGAGTAGTACCAACCCTCACTGAACAATTCTATATACTACTGGAAGAATTTTCTTAATCACTCATGTCTTCCTCTTGCTCAAAAATCTTCAATAGTTCCCCATTACCTGCAGCCTAAAGTCCAAATCTCTGATGTGGCATTTCACAGTTCTCTATAATCTAGCTCTCACCTACCCTTCCAATTCACTTCCTTTCACTTTTCCCCTATTTGAACTCTTCATTTTAACCAAATAAGGCTAGTTACTGCCAACAGAATATACTGAGCACATTTAGGTCCCTGAGCTTTTGCTAATTCCATTTATCTTACCTTAAATGCTGTGCTCCTTCTTTTCCATTTTTCTAAACTCAACTGTAGGTCAAGTTTGGATCACTCATGGTAATCACTCCCATCTCCTAAAGCCCCTATAGCACACCTCTAACCCACTCATCTGGCACCCACCATCTATTATGATGTAGTGTTACCTATACGGATGTCTCGCCTCAATTTGGTTGTTAGAGAGCAGGCACTATACCTTATTCAGACTTGTTTCCCAAGAGCCTAGTGTGGGGCCTGAAAATGATAATGATGTGAAGGATGATGTGGTCTTCTGTGATCCTTGAATCAAATCATATTATTGTTTCACTGAAAGTGGCATCTATTGATTGACAGTTAAGGATTACTTACTTCCTTATAAACAACACCCCAGGGAAAAAGGGCAATCTTATTGAGGGAGAGAACAGTACAAAGAGACTATGTGGTTTGCTTCAATGACTGCATAAAGACCAGAAAAGAATCCCAAATTTGATGTGTACTTTGTTTCTTATCATTAAAATGTCTACCTGATATAAAAATTGACTCAATAATATGAATACCAAAATGATCGAATTATTTGGTAAATACTCATTCATACAGTGGATTGAAGATTAAGAGTAAATATCTTCCCAAGTCTTTCCTCTTGCATACTTTATGAACCATGTAAGCAGAGTGATTGGGACCATGCCCAATCCAGATATTAAAAAATGCGATGGCTCAGGAAAATGTCTCAGAAGGCTCCCGCTCTTAACTTACGTCTTATAAATTAAACGTTTAGCTGAAGTGGTTATTCTAAGAATAAAGATGTTTAATACCTTTCTGCAATTATCTTGGTCAGAAGCATAATTCAGGCTTTTGTGTCCTCCTGGGCCCAAAGGTATTACTTGAGTGTGAGAGCTTAAAGGGTTTGGTGATGTGGGCAGGATGGGTGATGGGCTGATTCATGGAGCCCATGGGCAGGAGATCTGCCTGGGAATGGAGTATTCACCATCTCAATAAAACTCTCCAAGAACAGGCTAGAAAATTATCTCAAGAAAAATATTAGCTCACTTCGGACATTTCTTAACACAGCAGCCACTTTCACCAAAATTTTTTTTTTTCCCCAGTTGCTTAACACAATAAAACTTTATTTTTCACTCATATAATATTTTAACTTCAGTAATCTTGGTAACTTGGTAATTTTCCTTCAGGCTCCTTCCATTTTATGAGATAGTGGAATTCTCTGTTTCAAGCCACTGAAAAGAAAAAGAGAAGGTAGAGAATCCACATCTGCTTCTTGAAAGCTATAACCTGGAAGTGACATGCATCACATCCTTGTCCATACCAATGTATGTCCATATTTGGATATAAAATTTGGGCCTGAAAAGTATAGTCTCTGCCTGGGCAACAAGCTCTCAATGACAACTTTACTCTAGACGGTAAGTATGAATTATTTAGCGGATATATAGCCTTCTCTGCCACATCCTGTGGCGTAAGTGTTCAGAATCTGATGCTTTAATTGTCATTCATGTTTTGCCTTATGGACAAAGGTCATGTCTCAGTAATGTAGAGTCTTCAAGTCCCAACAATCTGCAACACTGTAATATTCTCTTTTGTTTCAATGTCTCACTGGATCCATCATTTTTCTTTGTAACAGGTTCCCAGAAGGAAGCAGATGGAACGCTCAAGGGGTAATCTAAGGGCATTTAATAAAGTGAGTGTCTATAAAGTTGTGGCAAGGGTTAAGGGAACCAACAAGGGATGGTGAAATATGTATTGGGAAGCTGGTATCACCCCTAGGCCTGAAGGATCAAGGAGAGGGTGGTTATTGGAACATCATGAGGACCCTGGTTGAGGACCCGCCTGACAGGGATTGTGGCCTAAGGTATAGAAAATGCAGCCTCTGCCAACCTGAAGCATGGTGAGAAGAGATCCAAGGAAATAAATACCCTGACCTCTCTCTCCTCCCACCCGATGATCCCCTGCCAGTGCCTCCCATTGGCTAAATTAACTGGAAGCCAGGGACTAAGTTTCCCTAGGCAATGCTGTTCATTTGAGTTGCGCCTCCTAAGGCACAGGGTAGGGCTGAGAGGATCTAGAAGGGCACATGGAGCATATCCAGCACATTGTCCAAATATTTCAGGTGATTTTCATGTGACCTGAGATTCTGGTCCAAAAAATAATGCACCTTAACTCCCTTGCTTGTTGTGTGCCTTCGACTCAATTCTGACTCATAGCAACCCCATGGGACAGAGCAGAACTGCCCCATAGGGTTTCCTAGGCTGTAATCTTTTTTTTGGTTTATTGTTGTAATTTAAATGAAGTTTACATTTCAAGTTAGTCTCCCATACAAAAATTTATACATACATTGTTATGTGACCCTAATTGCTCTCTCCATACTGTGACAGCACACTCCTCCTTTCCAGTCTGATTCTCCATGTCCATTCAACCAGCTCCTAACCCTCTCTACCTTCCCAACTCACCTCCAGACAGAAGGTGCCTGTTTAGTCTCTTGTATCTACTTTAGCTAAGAGGCACACTCCTCAGGAGTATCACTTTATGTCCCACAGTCCAGTCCAATCTAGAGTTGTCCTCGGAAATTGTTTTAGTTCTGGGCTAATACAGAATCCAGGGTCCATGCTTTGCAGGGTTCCTCCAGTCTCAGTCAGACCATCACTAACACTTTGAGTTCTTAGTCAAAAGTCCAACTAGGTAGGAAGAAAGGCCCCAGGAGGCAGGATAAGTCTGGCAGGGACATAAGACCCACTATACCCGCAGTATGTGATTAGAGTTCCAAAGAAAGATCTAAATCAGGTGTTAAAGGAATTCAGGCTGGCGGGGAGGCAGGGTTGGATTCAACAAAAGATCATGAAAAAGTAAAAGCCTGTAAGCGGCCATCTAAGATACTCCAATGGTCTCACCCTGTCTGGAGCAATGGAGAAAGAAGAAAACCAAAGACACAAGGGAAAGATTAGTCCAAAGGACTAACGGACCACAACTACCACAGTTTCCACCAAGACTGAGATCCAGTACAACTAGATGGTGGCCAGCTCTCATCACCAACTGCTCTGACAGGCATCACAACAGAGGGTCCTGGACAGAGCTGGAGAAAAATGTAGAACAAAATTCTTACTCACACACACACAAAAAAGACCAGATATACTAGTCTGACAGAGACTAGAGAAACCTGAGAGTAGGCCCCCAGACACCTTTATAGCTCAGTAATGAAGTCACTCCTGAGGTTCATTCTTCAGCCAAAGATTAGACAGGTCCATAAAACAAAAAGAGACTAAATGGGCACACCAGCCCAGGGGCAAGGATGAGAAGGCAGGAAGGGACAGGAAAGCTGGTAATAGGGAGCCCAAGGTCAAAAAGGGAGAGTGTTGACATGTCGTGGGGTTGGCAACCAATGTCACAAAACAATATGTGCATTAATTGTTTAATGAGAAACTTGTTTGCTCTGTAAACCTTCATCTAAGGCACAATATAAAAAAAAAAAAAAAGGTCATGAAGAAGATACCATTTTAACACTTTTTTTTTACATAGTTGAGAGCTAAAAAAAAATCTCAACCAGACAGTCATTTGTGCTATTTTGGATTGCAAAAAGAGGACCAACTAACTCTCTCTGAGGATAACAAAGATGCCAAGATCATTTAAATTGCAACCTGAATTAATCTGCGGGAAGATTAAAACCAAAAAAACCAAACTTGTTGTGGTTGAGTCGATTCCAACTCATAGCAGCCCTACAGGACAGAGTAGAACTGCCCCATAGAGTTTCCAAGCAGCGGCTGGTGGATTTGAACTGCCATGCTGAACACTTAACTGCTGCACCACCAGGGCTCCAACAAAGATGCTAAAATTATACTATAAAATTCCATACCCATCTGGCAAGTATTTGAAAGGCTGACTTTTAAGCCATGGGAGATACAAAGAATTACACAGAAGACAGAGACTAATGCAAGCATTTAGGAATGACATGGTGCTTCCAAATATGGAAAGCTTCTCCACCATTCCAAACAACTACGACAAAGAAAAATGAGACAAAGTAGACAAAATAGAGAAAAATAATTTGGTTACAACTAACTCTCATGCAAGGAATTAGAGTTGCATGAGTTATAGCTACTGTTCGAAATAAACAAAAAATCTAAACCCTTAACATAAATGGCAATCAAAATATCCATTAAAATATTTCACGTCATATAAAGTACAAATATACCCTTTAGTCACAGGTATTATTCCCAACAATTTTTAAAATTGTTATCTACAAGGACAATACTGTATCCTTTTAAAAGCACTTACATGTACATAAATTGTACAAATAAGCACATTAAAAGACTGGAAAGATATATAGTAAAATATTAACAATATTATCTATAGGTAGTAGGGTTATAGGTAAAATCTATTTTCCTTTTATTCTATCTGTGGCTTAAAACTTTTCTACAATAATCAGAAATTACTTTGGGGGAAAAAAAGGAGACTCTGCTGCAAAAGACTTCTTTAAAGTGTTGAAAAGATGTCACTTTGAGGAATAAGGTGTGCCTGACCCAAACCATATTTTCAATAGCCTCATATGCGTGCAAAAGCTGGACAATGAATAAAGAAGACTAAAGAATTGATGTCTTTGAATTATGGTATTGGCAAAGACTACTGAATATACTATAGGCTGTCAGAAGATCAAACAAGTCTGTCTTGGAAGAAATACAGCCAGAGTGCTCCTTGGAAGCAAGCATGACAAGATTTCGCCTCATGTACTTTGGACACGTTGTCAGGAGGGACCAGTCCCTGGAGAAGGACATCATGCTTGGTAAAGTAGAGAGTCAGCAGAAAAGAGGAAGACCCTCAACGAGATGGATTGACACAGTGGCTGCAACGATGGGCTCAAGCATAACAAAGGTTGTGACAATGGAGCAGGACCGGGCAGTGTCTTGTTCTGTGGTACATACGGTCTCTATGAGTTGGAATCAACTCGACAGCACCTAACAACAACGTTAACGTTCATGCTACCTCCCATTTTCCTCATCAAAAATGTTAAATCATAAAATGTCTTGCCTCTGGCCCCTTGACCCCAGCAAAGTTAATTTTCCAAGTAGTATATCCACTCAGGAACAGGGAGGGTACATGGCAAGACCGGCAGGCATTCACACAAAAAGTTGTAACATTTACCTTGAAGTCTCTGGATGGAGTAGCACTGGCTTGTCCACAGGAAAAAGAAGGAAGCCTTAAACGAACTGGTCTTCCTCGAGCCTTCTTGGCTAGAAGCAGAAGATAGGTAGCTGTCAGATGATCATATTGCCACTGGAGGAAAAGAAAAGTAAGTTGGTTAGAAGACTAAAGTTGTTTTTTGAAATAATGTTCTTTTTGAAATTAATTTTTATTTGTCTGAAGAGTAGACATTCAGAATTTTAAGTCAAATAGAAAGGCATATAACGAAAAACAGCAATCCCCTGCACCACACTCAACCTACACACACAATTTTTACTTGCCAGAAGCAACCATTTTTAAACTTTTTTAGCTATTTCTTCTGCTTTTAATTGCATATTTCTAAATTACTTCCTTCTACAGCTTCGATTTTATTTTCCAGTTTCAGATATTATCTATGGATTTCCCAGTACGGAAGATAAGAATTTAGCTCTACTACAACACCCTCCCCTTCCCACACACGTTTCCTCCCTGCATTCCCCTACTATAATTTTATCACAATTTTTAGTTAAATTAATATTCAGTATTTACATTTTATGATTATGGAAATAGCATCCACAATTAGGCAGAGGTAATATTCAAAATATTTAACTGGTACCCTGGCACCAGCCAATCAGAACAGAGTCCAACAGGTAAGTAGGGTCCTTAGGGGCCCCTGCCATGCCAAGTATTAACTCTTTAATTGCGGAATTGGAGGGGGGGAGCGGCTAAGGAAGATAACACGACAAAAGGGAGGGGATTTGGGGTGGTGGCTAGTTATCAATCAGTACATAAAATTCTAATATTGTAACAACCAGTATGGCCATATTGGCTAAATATCATCCCTGCAGCTAAACCAGATGGGGTGCTATCCTTGCATTTCCTTCATTTCCTTCTTTTATAACTTTGTTCTTCCTGAAGTTTAAAAAAAAAAAAAAAAGCTATCAGACTTCTTACTAATTCAACTACACACTCTCCAATGCTCTCCACCTCCTCTCAGTATGTTCCCACATATCAGCTATTCTGTTTTCCCCCTTTCTTGGAGAGATTCCAACTGGATGTCTGCATTTCTTGCCCTCTCTAGGCTAGCTTCTTTCCCAGTCTGCTATTGAACTGTCAGCCTAGGAATTCCCTTCATTTCTAGCCTACAATGCCTCCCCAGTTTCCTAGATCCTAAGTATCCCTTTTTCCTGGTTTACACTCTTGCTTTGGTGGAGCACATGCTCCATTAACTTCCAGAGGGTGGATGTGTAGGAAGTAAATTTTTTGAGATCATGCATCTGAAAAATGGCTGCATTCTACTGTCACACTTGATTCTGGTTTGGCTAAGTACAGAATTCTAGATTGGTAATAATTTTCACATTTTGAAGGCATTGGTTCATGATCTTCTCATGGTTTTCAGTACACCAACCAAAACCAAACCCATTGCCATCAAGTCGATTCCAACTCCTAGCAACCCTACAGGACAGAGTAGAACTGCCCCACAGGGTTTCCAAGGAGTGGCTGGTGGACTCAAACTGCTGACCTTTTGGTTAGCAGCCAAGCTCTTAACCACTGCACCACCAGGGCTCCGGTTTTCAGGATAGCTACTGAAAACTCTAATGTCTTTCTGATTTCCAAGTCTTTGTGTGTGACCTTTTGTTTTTCTCTCTGAAAACTTTTTGGATCTCTTTTTCCACAGTTTTCTGAAATTTCACTAGACTAGGCCTTGGTGTGTACAGTGCCATGGATCAGTTTTGTGTGGGCTTTCTAGCCATGGTCTTGTAACTTCCACTCAAGTGACTGGGCAGGACTGTGCAGATATGGTAATTATGGCCCACTAAAGGGATTGGCTGCTTTCGCCATCCCGCTGGGCTTGAAATGAACCATCCCAGAGGTGGGGAAGAGAAGAATTCCACCATCACCAAGGAAGGAGAGACCCAAAGGAGACAGCACAGTGGGCTTCCTGGCCCACAGAGTGAGAAGACTGTGTGCCTTTGGGTAGAGACTGAGGGCCAGGGAGAGGCGTGTGCGTGAGCATGGCTAGGAAGAAGTTGTCCTGATGGAAGAGCTGTATCCTTGAGTGTTCTTGAGCCTGAATTAAAACCTATTACTTCCCTAATAAATCCCGTAATTGTGAGTATGGTCTGTGAGTTCTGTGTGGCCACTGCAAAGAATTATTGAACCCAGCAGAGAAGTAGAAAGTGCCGTGGGAAGGACAGTTGGTGCTAGAATTGGTAAAGATGGCAGAGAGAGAAGGCATGTTGACCTCTACCTCCATAGGAATCAGCCTTGGGCTGTTGATATTTATTCCCCTCCCCCTGTGTGAAGTTAGAGGAGGTCAGATGCTACCCCCAAGCCATTTTTATAGTGTGTATCTATTTTCACCTATTGTGCGAAGACCTGGTTAAGTCCTTTCATTCTTAGAAACTCATCTTCTTTAGTTCTGGGATATTTCTTCTTGAAGTATTTCTTTGATGGTTTCTTCCCCTCTGTCTTCTCTGTTCTATTTTCTGAAGCTTCTATTATTCATATGTTAGACCTTTCAAACTGGTCATGTAATTTTCTCTTCTATTTTCCCATTTCTTTGTCTTTAGATTCTACTTTTGAAAGATTTCATATCAACTTCGTTTTCATTTCTGTGGTCATATTTAAGAGTTTTCTAGACTACTTCTTTTTAGTTATCTTATTCCTGTTTCAAGAATGAAATAGCTTCTCTTATCTCTGAGAATATTATTTTTTAGCCATTTTCTTCTGTTCCCTGCATTGTCTCTTTTTTCTGAGTATCTTTATTTTTTCTCTCCCCTGCCCCCACTCTGTTTGTTTTGATCTGACTTTTATATTACAGGCTTTGCTCAAATGTCGAATAATCTTTGGCTGTCTGTTTCTATTTAAAAGTGAAGAATTATAACTACACAGTGACTTAGAAGCTGTGTATGGGGTGAGGCTGCTCTGCTCATCACCTTGGGGACTTTTCTCTAAGGTAATGAGACAGGAGCCTGAACTCCCAGTCATCACCATATAAGGTCTGTTCTCTTGGCTTTTCCCTAGAAATAAATTCATCCAATCTTTTCCCCCAACCCCACTATGAACAGAATAAAATCTTGGTTCCAGCATTCTCAGAATTGAGAAAGGGGAGGGAGTTAGAAGCGGTGGCCCACTGTTCAACATACGGATGCTGTATGTCCATGCATCCATTTCAGAATGGTTCCTCACCACCACCTGAGTTATGCTGGTACAAGAATGCCTCTTGTTCAACATTTCCAGTCTTCTGCTGGGGTAGGAAAGAAGTGGCTGTCATGTAGCACAGGGTAGAGAAAGGGACCGAGGGGTCTAACTGCTTCTAATACAGACTTTCAACCAATTTTTCCGTTTTCAGCCCTACTCACTTCTCTGACTTCTGATTGGCTTGCCTGCTGCCTTTTGGCACTACAGGCACTGAGCTTTCAGCTTACCACTTACCTATTTTATAGCTTCCAAAATTTTATTGGCTTTCCTTTTGTCTCCCCTTTTATTCTCTTTGTCTTTGTGAGTTTTTTGCTATTTTATTCCTTTATTGTTATTTTAGTGAGGTTTTAGGAAGTGTTCAATGTAAACATATCTGTTAAATCCACCACATTTAACGGAAATTTTCTAAATTGTGTGCTCACAAAGACTATGAAACTCTTTGCCCTAGAAAACTGTTAAATTGTAACAATACTGAAGAATATTTAATTCTATGCACCCTCTCACAAAGTACATGACCCAAAGGGGTCTACTATCAACTTTCTTTTATTAATAAATTCTATCAGTTAGTATTTTAGATGGCCACAGTCAGAGTATATGCTTAGAAATTGGCATAATAGCCCTTTCAGTCTAGTGGAGAAAAGTATAAAACATACTGTGATAAATTATCATGCAGTGTTGCCTTTAATCTAGATAGGGCAGGGGGAAGAAGGGACAGAAAAGGCTTCTTAGAAAAGATACCTGGGAACTGAGTGACAACTATGTAGTTACAATCAGTCACTCTCTCCACTTTCCAAAAACTATATTAAAGGCTTTTTTCCAACTCCCATATCTACGGTCTCGGTCTCATGTCTGATAGCCACCTTTATGAAAGAGATGCCGTAAATTGATTAGAGGCAATTGATAAGAAACAGGTTGCCACTTTCTTACCAACAATAGCATGCATGGCATAACCCAGGTACTGTAAACAATTCCTGAAGAGTATTAAGAGTTTTAGATTGAGTTTTCTACAAATATGCCTAGAGTTTCACAATTATCCTCTAAACCTTCTTTTCCTCTAGGCAAAAAGTATCCATTTTACAACCTTTTTGCCATAGCCACTGCAAACTTCTCATTATGATAAGATGTACCGGGGAGTTTTGTATTCAATAACAGATAAGTCAACACATTAGTTATGCTTTCAGGTGATGTCAATCCACAAGTCTAACACAATCAATGTCTCCTTATCTTTAAGGCAGCTCTTTTGAAAGTCAAATATCTGAAAGTAAAGCAATAGGTTTACCTGTTATAAAGAAGGTTCCATTTCTAGAAAACTAAAAATATTTTTAAATCCCCACTTATTGTCAGGCAATCCAAACATTAAAGAACTTCTCAGGCACCTGCGCTGAGGAGAGGCTGCCACTGGTACAGAGGGTTAGAGAAATGGAGGAGTAGCCCACTACCCTTCCTCTGGCCCTGCTGCTGAGGCCCTCAATCTTTAAAACACATCGGTGCTGTCTTGGTCTAAATAGGTCCTTGTATACAATGTCGCCCTCCAATGAAGTTCTCCTACCAGATGCCTGGCTGCTCCCACAATCCAGAGCCACTCATAGCTGGAGGAATAGGAGGAAAATGAAGGAAGCAATGAGCTGAAAGAAAGTTTATATTAGGCAAGGGGCACTGGGAGAGGTCAGCAGCCCAGGTAAATGAGCAAGCTATAGGCCTCCAGCGCCACAGTTTGGTATCCCAAGGAGGCTGCAGTGAGATAGCTCAAAATCATGAGACATATGAAAAACTGACTTCTGCATATAAGGGTACTCACATATACAATGTAAAAGTATTTGTAGATAAGTTGAATGTTTGGAAATAGTATTACTTCTCTCTCCTTAACCAAGCATGAGGATCAGCAGGACCATACCAGCATGTCCTGTCTAACTAGCTCCAAAGGTCAAGTCAAAACCAAAAAAAACCAAACCCATTGCCATCAAGTGAATTCTGACTCATAGGTACCCTACAAGACAGCAGAATTGTCCCATAAGGTTTCTAAGGCTGTAATACTGACAGACTCAGATTGCCACATATTTTTCCCACAGAGCCGCTGGTGGGTTCAAATCACAGACCTTTCAGTTAGCAGTCAAGCACTTAACCACCGTGCCACCGGGGCTCCTAAGGTAAAGCCAGAGCTTCCAAAATACCAGAAAAAATACAACAGACCCCAGCTCATCTCAAGCCTGGTTTTCCTGGCACTCTTCAAACTAATGTGAATTCTCTGTGACTACCTAGACCAAGTTTTTCAATCACAGTGCTACCGACATTTTGGTCCGAATAATTCTTTGTTGTGAGGGGTTATTCTGTACCTTGTAGGATGTTCAGCAGCATCCCTATAGATGCCAGTAGCAACCCCCTCCTCAGTTGTGACAACCAAAATGTCTCCAGATATTGCCAAATGTCCCGAGGGAGCAAAATCACCCCTGGTTGAGAACCACTGACCTAGCCAATGCTTGAATGACATATGAATCACTTGGGGAGTTTATTAAAATGCAGATTTTGATTCAGTAGGTATGAGGAGGGGCCTGAGATTCTGCATTTCATAAAAAATACCATTTTAATGACTAATTTTTTTTCAATGGTTCTTAAAAACTCTGAGTATATTACTTTCAAGAATCATATTTTTAAAGTTTGTGTATCTCATACCAAATTATTTGGGGGTAAAAATGACATGATGTCTGGGATTTACTCTGAAATATCCCAGTTAGAAAGGCTAGCAGAGTATAGTGAAAACTGACAAATTGTTAACTGTTGAAGCTGGATGATGAGTACATGGCTGTTCATTATCATTATACTACTCTCTCTACTTCCGTGGGTATATGAAAATTTCTAATAAAAATTTAAAAAGAAATTTTATGTTTCTGAAATATAGTCTTCTATTAAAATAATCTGAAAGAAAAAGTCATGCAATTTTTTTTAAGGCTTTTTTGGTTGCTTAAATGAAAACTTTAAAATGAAGACTAAGGCCCTGACATACCTTGCAGCAATTCCCAATTATTGCCATTCCCTTAAAGACAATATCCATGAAAAAGTAGATTATACTTCCACTTTCCAGACATATTCCAGAACACCTTTGTTCATTATGTTACTCAAAAGGATTTCTTTTTATCTCCTCCTCACTGAAAAGAATTATGGTTTAGCAAAGCTTTGTTTAATAAAATATGTTGCTTAAGGCCTTACCTTACAAGTTAAAGAACAAAAATAAATACACATCATAGATGATGGAAGACATAGTACTGAACCAGGAGCAAAGCTGGGTGTGATCCCTGCCAGTCACGTTAGATGACACTCAGAGACAGCTGTGAACACCCCATCTCCAGAGAAACCACATGTATGATGTAAGCATTGGAAAAAGCTAAAATGATCTCACACCAGAAATCATGATAATGATTTTGTGGTGTTTGGTTAATAAGCTTGAGGGTAATATGGTGCTACAGGGTTGCTTTTAGGTAAGGACAAAACTGCTTTGTGTTAGCCACATTTCTACAGCAGAATTACAGTTCCACATTTAAGAGCTTTAACCAAACCAAATCCACTGCTGTCGAGTCAATTCCGACTCAGAGCAACCCTGTAGGACAGAGCAGAACTGCCTATCAGGTTTCCAAGGCTGTAATCTTTATGGGAGCAAACTGCCACATCTTTCTCCCGGGGAGCAGCTGGTGGGTTCGAACAGCTGACCTTCGGTAAGCAGCCAAGTGCTTTTAACCCCTGCGCCCCTAGGGCTCCAAAGACCTTTAAAGTAGTCAAAATTATGACTCTGTCAATTCTCTGTGGACTAGTTTATTTATTTTATTTCTTAATTCTTTTCCCACTACAATTCTTCTTAATCAATGTCTTAAGTATAGAGTGTTCATTTTTCAAAAGTATATCCAGCAGGCATCAGGAAAGAGCTGAAACGAGACTTGTGGTGCAATGATTTAGCAGTTTGGCTGCTAACCAAAAGGTTGGCGATTCAAACCCACCCAGTGGCTCCAAGGGAGAAAGACCTGGTAATCTGCTCCAGTAAAGATTACAGTCTAGACGTCTGAGGTCTTAAAAGCTAGTAAGCGGCCATCTAAGATGCATCAAGTGGTCCCAACCCACCTGGAATAAAGGAGAATGAAGAACACCATAGACACAAGGAAAGTATTAGCCCGAGAGACAGAAAGGGCCTCATAAACCAGAGACTTCATCAGCCTGAGACCAGAAGAACTAGACGGTGCCCGGCGACCGCCAATGACCGCCCTGATAGGGAACACAACAGAGAGTCCTTGAAGGAGCAGGAGAAAAGTGGGGTGCAGAACTCAAATTCTAGTAAAAAAACCAGACTTAATGGTTTGATTCAGACTGGAGGGACCCCAGAAGACATGGCTCTCGGACTCTCTATTAGCCCAAAACTAAAACCATTCCCAAGGCCAATTCTTCAGACAAAGATTAGACTGGACTATGGGACATAAAATGATACTCGTGAAGAGTGGCTTCTTAGCTCAAGTAAATACATGAGACTAAATAGGCAGCTCCTGTCCAGAGGCGAGATAAGAAGGAAGAGTGGATCAGGAGCTGGTTGAATGGACATGGGAAATCCGAGGTGCATAGAAGAGTGTGCTGTCACAGTATAGGGAGAGCAACTAGGGTCCCATAACAATGTATGTGAAAATTTTTGTATGCGAGACTGACTTGAATTGTAAACTTTCACTTAAAGCACGACAATAAAAATAAATTAAACAAAATAAAAATATTACAGCCTAGAAAATCCTATGGGACAGTTCTACTCCATGGTCTAACCGACTCAGTGGCCCCTAACCACAACAACAACAACGTACAAAAGTCAGAATTTACATAGCACTCTTGCTAGAAGCAGATACTATCTATTTCTAAACAGAAAAGAGCTGAGTGGAAATCATACACGAAGTAAATGCAATGTTTATACCCATGATAATCATAGGGCTGAAAATATACTATTTTTAATGTACTGATAAAATAAAGAATAATGAAACAAAAATATATTACTCTCAAATTGATATCATATTTCTTACCAGTGAAATTAAATCCTCCATTGTTTGTCTGTTGTTTCTGTGATGTACAGAAAGTTCTGTTACACAATCTTCATCAAGGTGAATAAACTACAAAAAAAGATTAACAAAAAAGTACAAACGTATTTTTGTGTTTTGAAATTTAAAAACCAGCACAATTACTTATCAAATTGAACACCAATATTGAAAACAATATGAGTTTGTCAAACTCTTGGGTCAGAATCAACATTCTCCATACATTTTTAAAATGTAGGCAGACAACAATAAGTATATCAAGAACATGAGCTCTTAGCCTTTCACAGTCTCAACATCATCGGATGAACTATTAAAATTCTATTATGTAAACAAGGGATTATATACTACTTCCCTAAGCTAAGACCTACGTTGGCACTTTCATCAAAAAGCAGTGTCTAGGCATCTAAAATCTATGGCTGTACAATGGACTTACAGAAGAGTGGCTCAGACTTGTGGCATACAGGACCAAGGTTATGTTTAGCTTCAGCACAATCCAAGGGGCCCTCATGATGGTGCTATAGATGCTGCACAACAGACACAGCATATGCTGCAAGGTACTAGCAAAGCACAATTTAAAAAGGAGGAGGGAGAGGATGAGGAGGACAGTTTCTACACAAACTTCAGTTTTGCTTAAGGGTATAAATTATCCAAGTATTCTGATCCCTGCATAACGGGACCTCACCCAGGAAAGGCCTGACCTGGACCTGAAAAAAGAGTTCAGAAGATCACACAGGAAGAGAATCAGAAGGAAGGTAATTGTAAAGTATGTCTTTTCAATATAAGAATTCTCTTCACAACAGTCCCAGTAAGTGAAACTTCACCTTCTTCTTAAAGCCCTCTTATTCAGGGAACTCAGAACAGCTGGAATGGTTAGCGTCTTCCTCCTTCTGCCTGAGGTCTGTTTCCCTGTGATCACCACCCACTGTAAGTTGGTAATAGCCTGATAGCTAACAGGCTTGGGAATTAGACAGACCTTGGTTTTAATTGTGACATCACTTAATAACCATGTGACCTTGAGCCTGTTACTACATTTCTCCAAGCCTCAGTTTCATCATCGGTAAAATAAGAGTGCCCAGTATAACATCTAAATAGTAGGTCTCACAAAACGGTCATTACTCTGCCCTCTGGGGTCACACAGAATAAGTCCATTTCCTCTTTAATATAAGAGTCTTTCAGAAATTTATATATTCCTATTATAGACAACTTTCTTCTCCAAGTTTTTTTTCTTTTCCTGTTCCTTCAACTACTGCTTTTATGATTAACACTCTTTACCATTCTTGCCCTTTCTTTAGATCACACACTCTAAGTTGTCACTAGCCCCAAGGTGAGATACTAAAAACCTAATATGCCAGAAGAGGCCTACCTAGCACAAGGAAGAGCAGTATCATGACCTTCCTTATTCTGGATACCACACTTGTAACAAGGGGTTCAAAGAAATTCATGCTGCCATCATGAAAACAGAGACAATGACCTCCATGATTGGCTGGTATGAACCCAACGTCATGCGTTACAGAGAACATGAAGAGCGCAAAAGTTTATACTAGTTGCCCTGTGAACATCCAAAATGCTAAGAATGAATTTTCATCATGTTGCTTTGACTTTGGCGGCTCCCAGAACTGTAGATTCCTCCCAGCTGGATACCTTCTTGTTGGTATCATCACCGCTCAAGCGAGGAGGGAAGGATTCCTAGGGTTGCCTCCATGATCTTAAGCTACCCACCCCAACCAAAAAAAAATTTTTTCTCTTTCCCATAGGCTCCTGACCTGCACCTTTATAAGATGTGTGTAGGTTTCAACAACAAAAAATAAAAAAAATTAAAAAAAGAAAACCCTATAGACAGGAAAAAAAATGTATGTGGGAAAGGGAGGAACAGTAGGAAGGAGTGAGTATGAGAGACAAGATTAAAGAGGAGGGATAGTGAATATCAGGGTCCTATGCTGACAGCGGAGCCCTGGTGACACAGTGGTTAAGAGCTCAGCTGCTAACCAAAAGGTCATCAGTTCAAATCCACCAGCCACTCCTTGGAAGCCCTATAGGGCAGTTCTACTCTGCCTAAAGGGTCGTTATGAGTTAGAATCTACTCGACAGCAACCGGTTTTTGGTTTATGCTGACAGTAAGAAGCCCTGGTGGTACAGTGGTTAAAGCACTCAGGTGCTATTCAAATGGTTGGTATGAACCCACCAGCTGCTCCACAGAAGAAAGATTGGCAGTCCAGTAAAGATTAGAGCCTAGGAAACCCTTTGGGGCAGTTCTACTCTGTCCTACAGGGTCATTATGAGTTGGTATCAACTCGATGGCAACAGGTTTACGCCAACAGCATGTTATAAGGGTGAGCAAGACACCTAAGTCTGAAAAACATGGCTTCTTTCAAGCTGGTTTTCCACATAGTCTCCATACTTTGTTTGAAGTGCTCTGAATGCCCAGCCACACATACTCAAGTTAAATTAAGTAAAAAAATGCATACCAAAAACTAGCCAATTATTTTGGATTATCCGTGCCGACTACATTTCCTGTTCCCTAGGGCAGAAAATGGAAGTGACTATAACTTCTTATTTGATACAATACTTGGGTACAAGACCTGTGTGTGAAAATGGTAGGAGGAGATCATGCATAAAGTTACAGAACAGCAACTACACCTTAAATATCCAAGTAAATCTGAACTATTTTTTATAGTCCACTCTTGATGAAACACAGTATTGAGAGAAAAGCAGATACTTCAAAAGGCAACAATAATCCCTTATAACTCTTCTGTACATGACTCATTTGATCCTTGCAACAGTTCTGTGAAGCAGGAAAGGCAGATGAATGACAAAACATGTAAAAGCATCCTATAAATGGCAAAACATGACTCAAACGTACATAAGAGATTGTCATTAGAATTCCCATATTAGAGGTGAGAAAATGAAAACTCAGAAAAGTTAATGCAATCTGCCCAAGACTGGCATTCTTCATTCCTAGCCCAGGTTTTTCCAACCACACCACAATACCATTCTGCATGGCTCTGCTCCAGAAGTGGTTCCAGCAGAGACCAGACAAGCAATGCTTGTCACAAAGGCTGTAGATACATAGGATACAGGCCCTGAGCTTGAACTAGTTGACTTACAAGATCCATTCCCTTCTGGAGCCCTTCTGTCTGGTTCAGATCTTAGCTCTACAGTTTCTAGTTGGGCAAGTTACTTAATGACTCTCTGTCTCAGTTCCTTCATCTGTAAAATGGGGACAATAATATTACCGTTTTCAGAGTACCTACTTCAGTGGTGTGAAAATTAAATGAGTTAATAAACATAAAGCCCACAGAAAAACCCCTAACTATTAAAGGTATTATTCTAAGGGTTCTATCTATATTATACTATAGATAATATACAGACAGCCTTACTATAATAGCATATTTTTCCATTATAGTAAGTACTCAATAAATATTAGCAATTATTATATTAAACATGTAAGGAAAATTACATACCCTTTTGGAACTCACAAAATTTTATATATTTTACTTTATACTGTGCCCCAATAAAAAAAAATGTATTTCTGTTATTGAAATCAGAGACTTTTTTCATGATGGCATCTGTTCTATTGCACACAGCTGTGTATCCTATTAGTAGACATGACTGAGAAGACATGCAAAGTCCTCCCACACGTGGAGAAATGATGACCCCCAATGGCTGAACGCAGGCATTTGTACCACTCGCTCTCTCCACCTCACAAGGGCACATCACAGCTACCTGGCCCTGCTGCTGTACTGCTCAGACACCAGCACACTCTGCTGCTCTTAGCCTACCGGCATTGATAGCTGTTAGACTTAAGTTGTAGCCCCTAACTGAATTTGCTCCATACATATTAAAAAATGTCATGAAGGCCACAGGGAATACGGATAAGAGAAATTATAGGCAATGACAGTCATAGTAGCATCACGGGAGATTTTAGTTCAGGTTGCATGGCTAATATAGTCTGCAAAACAGGGAGAAGGGGCTAGAAGCAAGCATAATCTATTTTTTCCAAGATCCTGTACCGGCTAACCATTGGGAAGAATATGCTTATGGGTGTGATTATTCCAGAAAGCAAATACTCATAGCTGTACCAAGTCTACACTGTGGCACGTCTGAGACATACCTCCAAGCTATCCTGTTGACCCATGCACATGTCCTATTCCACTGTAGAATCAAGAGGAACTGAAGTGGAATGCCTGTCTGCAGTCTCCCTCCTCATTTGTTACCACCACAGACAAGTACCTCTATTCTCTACTGAAGAGGAAGAATAGTACACAGGTTCAGAAAACAGACTCTGGAGCCACACTGCCTGGCTTCAAATCCTAACTCTACCCCTTAATGACTATGTGACCTCTCTGTATTACTTAACCTCTTTGTGCCTCATTTCCCTATAAATGGTGTTGCTGTGCGCCATCAAGTTGATTCCAACTCATAGGGACCCTATGGGGATAATAACTGTACTGACTTTTAAGATTACAACTTCCATAGAGGCTTTAGACTTTGCCATGTGACTTACTTTGGTCAATGGGACATTAGCAAGCATGAGGGAAGCAGAGACTTGGAAAAATGCTTGTACTCTGCCTCCTGTGTCATGAGACCAGAAAAACTGGATGGTGCCTGGCTACCATTAATGAATGTTTTGATCTAAGAGTCTATAGAAGAATCCTGATCAAAGGGGGGAAAAACCGGAACAGAATTTCAAATTCTCAATGGAATCCAGACTTTCTGGAGCCACTGAGGTTGGAGGAACACCTGAAACTACTGCCCTGTGATGTTTAAACCTTAAACCTCAGACCAAAACATTCCCTGGAATTCTGCTTTGAACCAAACAGCAGTTTAGCTTAATTAGTAAAGTATGTCTGCCTTGAGCATTGTGCTCTTTCAAAGATTTATCTGTACAGGATCCAAATGACAACAGCATCAGATAAGAAGCTTAGGGGGCAGTGAGTTTATGCTAATGGTAGTAGAATAATTTTGAAAAGGATAGCAAGGATGGTTATACAACTTCAAGAATGTAAACAATGCCACTGAATTATATATGTAGAATTTGTTGAAATGGTGTATCCTTTGCTGTGCATATTTTCACCAAAAATAATAATAATTAATTAATGAAATTTTTAAATGCTTGCACATTAGGGTTTGCTCTCTTGCTTCTTTTGGAATCCAACTGCCATGTCAAGAGACATGCAGCCCAGCCACAAACCAGCACAAACAGCCAATCTTCGGACTCAGCTGCAGTCAAGTCACCAGATGACTACAGCCACATGAGTGAACCCAGGCCCAGAACAAGAACAGCCCAACTGAGCCCAGTCCAAGCTACTGGTACACAGAATTGTAAGCAAATAAAATTATTATTGTTTTAAGCCACTAAACTTTGGGGTGGTTTTTCATGCAGCAATAGTAAACTGATACACAAATTATACACATCCTTCGAGAATATTCATATTTTTATCAAATTCCAAGTTGTCATCTGTTAATAAAAAATTATTTTTTGAAACATTAATGTAGGAATAATCAGTAAAATAATTGCTTAAACTTATATAGCACTTTGTGTTTTTAAAGTTCTTTACTATTACTATTAGAGCAGTTGTCAAAGTGTTCTGCAGAAGCCTGAGGGCCTCTGAGGGCAAAACTATTTTTATCACAATACTAAGATGTTATCTGCATTTTGCACAGTGTTGACATTTTCACTGATGAATCAAAAGCAATAATGTGTAAAACTGTTGGCGCCTTAGTACAAATCAATGCAGGGGCACCAATCTGTGGCTAAGATATTGCATTCTTTGCCATGCACTCACAGTTATAAAAAAAAAAAAAAAAAGTCAGTATCAATTAAGAATATCCTCGGTGAAGCAATAAAAAGTATTAATTTTATTACATCTTTGCCTTTGAGTACACATCTTTTTAATATTCTGTGTGACAAAAATGGGAAGTATGCATAAAACACTTTTGTTGTATACTGAAGTACAATAGCTTTCTGGAGGAAAAGTACTTGTGTGACTGAGTTATGAGCTGAATTAGCTGTTTTTGTTTTTCCAAAATACACCATTTTTACTTGAAAGGACACTGAGAAATTACAGTTATTTGGAAATGGATATTTGGCAGACATTTTCTCAAAAACTGATGGTATTTGCCACCAATGATATAATTTGGGCTTTCAAGCAAAAATTAGGATTTTGGAAAACTTCTATCTGCCACCATGAGCTTGACAGCTTTCCAATACTTAAAGCCTTTTCTGATATTAAGGAATGTAATCTTTTAGATAACATATAATGAAATGTGCCAATATTTGGAAGATTTACATAACTCAGGAACCAATATTTTCCAAACAACCAATGCAGACTGTTACAGAATCAGGCATGAGAAAAAGATCCATTCAAAGTACAAGGCAGATCAATGGATTTTAATGAGAGTACAAAATGTTCACCGATATGGTTTCAGATTCCACATGCAACTAATCTTAAGAAACTACCATTTGTTAAGTTTTAGTGGAATATCAGAGAATATCCCCAGTTACCTGAAAAGACTATTAAAATACTTCGCCCTTTTCTAACTACATCATCTATGTGAGGCTGCAATCTCTTCATACACTTCAACAAAAACACGTCAAAACAAACTCAATACAGAAGCAAATGAGTATCAAGATGTCCTCTATTAAGCCAAACATTAAAGAAATTTCCAAAGATGCAAAACAATGCCATTCTTCTCACTAAATTTATATTTAAAAGTTATTTTTTATAAAATATTTTATTTGATAACATATAATAGGTTTATTGCTGTTACTTTTAAATGAACTAATAAATAATATTAAGAATATAAAGGGGTTCTGAGACTAAAAAGTTTGAGAACCACTACAACTTTATACCTACTCTGGGAAGTAGACAGAACTGGACTGATCTACTTTTTACAATTAAGTAACCTGCTCAAGATCCCCAGAGCAGTTCACAACGCTGACAGCAAAGAGAAACACCTGGGAGCTTTCAAAAACACATACTAATTATTCTGGGGACCCCCCCCCGACACACACCTTCTTTCTTTTCCTTAATGTCTCAAGTGATTCTCATTTGCAGCCAGGGTTGAGAACCACTGTCCTAGAGATTAACGGGCAAATATATAGTAAGGTTTCAAGTCTCCCATACATCAACCTGTTGAAGAAGTCTACAAAATACATTTTCTTTTATATTTCAACCACATCACTGTAGGTCTTGAATTCACATAAATCTCACACAAAGTTAAAAAATTCTATTAGATTTCATTTTACTTACAGGATTCTTGCTTTGCCACTCAACGGGACAGTTGTAATCTTGCATGATCCAGGGATGGCTCAATAGATTTTTCACAGAAATCCGTTTCTTTGGGTCCACCTAGTGGCCATTGAGAAGTAGCCAGAGATAAATGCTTCAAATAAAGAACATAAGAACACCTTTCCTCCTGAGAGCTCAAAATTCATCAAAACAGATGCAAACTTTATCACCACAGAAATGCTGTCAAAGACCTTAAAATGGCCTTGAAATAAATTCTTTTAAAAAGCCAATAGAGGCAAGAAAACTACAGCAACCAACATAGGCTTAGAAGATAAATGTTTAACAAACATGAACTTCATTGGTATGGACATTATTCATGAAGTTCAGTCAATCTATTGTATGATGTAATAGTCTTTTGCTGGAAAACCTATTCACAGGAAATATTCACCAATTTAACATTCAAGCAGCCACAATGCAGGGCATTCATACTGAATATGCAATCTCTACCTCAGATGAGCTTACAATAACATAGAACAAGTCGAAAAGCACACCTTTCTTTTCCATTTGTAATTTTCAAATGTGAGGAGAGAAAAATTAATCAACAAAGATTAAGTTTTTTGGAGTCTACTGCAAAGGGTAAGGCATTTTCAATCTCATTATGGAGATTTGGTGGCCTGGCCCGGCTTAATCAAGGTGGGTGAGCCTGAGGTAAGTTATGAATAAAAGGTAGAGATGGCTTAATAATGGAAAAACTGGAAGATATTTTGAATATATAATAATGAAAAAAAAAAACTGCACTAATAAGATACTCCTATTTTCAAAGTGTTGTCTATCAATCTCATTTTATCCTCATAACACTACATAGCAGTGAAGCCAGGCTCAGAACCCCCATTTTACAGATCAGAACAGTCTAGTTGGTTTGCCACTGGCAGGGTGGATACCTAGACTTCAGCTCTTCTTTCACCCTCAGAGGTTCATTACACTAAATCAGTGGTTCTGAAAGTGTGGTCTCAGGACCAGTAGCATTAGCATCATTTTAGAGCTTGTTAGAAGTACAAATTCTCATTCCCACCCTAGACGTATTGAATTAGACATGGTGGTGGGTTGGGGGGAATGATCTGTTTTAACAAGCCCATCTGGTGATTCTAAAACACGGTAAAGTTTGAGAACCACTGCACTAGACCATGGGACTCACTCAGTTGTATGGCAGCTCTTTCAAGCATGTATTCAGTATCTACTATACCTCTAATGTGCAAAGGTGGAAGTGAGAAAATAGAAGAGAACAGAGCAACAGTTGGTTGATAGAAAACAGACAATGCTCAAGAAAAAAATTTAACAAATCATGTCAGAAAAGACATATGGTAGCGGTCTAAAAAAAAAAAATCATTGGGTTTGCAGTATAATTAAGAAAGGATTAAGTAGAGGATATTTGCAAAGTAGATATGATTAATGGAATTTTTTTAAGCTAACAGATTATGGTACTATCCTCTAAAGTATAGTAGTATCATAGACAATGGTGCTATCCTCTAAAGTGTAGGAGCATCACAGACATCTTAAAAGTTGGATCAAATAACTACAATAGATTTCTATTTATTTAAAAACAAACAATAAATTTTACCTGTAGCATTTGTTGGAGAAGTAAAATACTACTGGAAGAGAGCCACTTAGGAACCTCATATTTTCCTCTCTACAAAAAAAAGAAAACATTTAAGAGACTAGATTTAGGTTCAATCAGCCTTGACACAAATTTCTAAGGTAACAACATGCTGGAGGTTACTACCAGGCTTGAAGACTTCACCCAACTATAAAATTTGGTAAACATAATTAATAACATAAAAATCCATTTCTTGCCTTAAAGAACAAAACACAGTAGGTTAAATACTATCATCATCTGTAAATTATCCATATAGCAAAGATGGACTAGAGCACAGAGAATGTAAGAGTGGAAAACATACATGGTCTAGGGCTTTAGAATCTGCAGTGTTTTTTAGATGCTTTGGCCAACTCTCTGGGACTCAGCAGTCACAGTTGCTGTGTGACTGGCCCTGACCCAGCTGCCCTCGCTGTCGTATCTGAGTTTCTCCTTATTCCTTAGACCAAAGCCTCTCATGAATCAAATCCTGGGTGCCTGACTTATTCTCTTTCTTGGCAAATGGTCCATTTGCCTAGTCTCTCAAATATTTCAGTTTGCTCTTGCCAAGAAGAATAAAGGCCAGCCTGAGGACAAGAACCCTCTCCCTTGCTTACACTGATCAAGGTCATGACCTGCCTGAATCTCCAATGACAGCATATCTTAGAGTGTCCTCTGACATGCTTAACTCACTGGTCAGGACCCTCATGTACTCCAGTGGGTCTTCCCTCATGCTGACTGTTTGCAGACCCATTTGCTCTTTACTCTCTGGATACCACCCATAAGGGTTTTCCTTCCTTGCATTACCTCTTCCTTGCAGGACCTGCCCTGCCTCAAATATAAGTCTGGTTCTGAGGTCTACTCCAACATGCAGATAACAGGCCCATAACCAGACCTATCAGAAATAGTATGCCTTCACAATTAGTCCAAAGGACTAATGGCCCACATGAACCACAGCCTCCTCTACCTTGAGAACAGAAGAATAGATGGTGCCCAGCTACCACTCCCAAACACTCTGACCGGGATCACAATAAAAGTTCCCTGTTAGAATGGGTAAAAAATGTAGAAATTTAAATTCAAAAGAAAAAAAGACCAGAGTTACTGGTCTGAAAGAGACTGGAGGAACCTCCAAGACTATTGCCCTAAAATAACCTTCTAAATTGAAACTACAGACACTCCTGGAGGCCACCTTTCAGCCAAATATTAGACAGGGCTATAAAATAAACAATAATACCCGTGAAGAATGTGCTTCTTAGGACAATTGACTATGTGAGACCAAAAGGCCAACGTTTTCCCAAAACCAAAGATGAAAAGACAGGGAGGGACAGGGAAACCGGACTAATGGAAATGGGGAAACCAAGGTGGAAATGGGGAGAGGACTGACACATTGCAGGAATTGCAACCAATGTCACAAAACAATTTGTGTAAGAATCATTGATTGGAAAATTAATTTGCTATGTAAACTTTCACCTAAAGCACAATAAAACGTTAAAAAAAAAAAAGGCAGAAACTGCATGAGGCACATAAATATCAAAAAAAAAAGAAAGAAATAGTATGCCTTCAAATACAGGAACTACCATCCAAAACAAAAGTGTTCCTAATAAAAGGTCATTTCAACAGAAATCAGATGTAAAAGTAAATATTCAGATCAAAGCACTGAATAAGATGTTCGCCAGACTGATTCCAAATTCCTTTACGCTGCTTTTTATCATCCCATTTTGAATTGATGAATTATATTTTAATATGTCCCCTGTGCTGTAAGCTAGCACCACAGACATAATTCTGTCTGGAAAGAGATAGAGAAAACAAGTGAATGAGAAATGAGGTGTTTGGTACACTGGAAACAGCCATGGATCTAAAGTCAGACGCTATGTTTAAATCTCAGTTCTGCCTCCTTAATAGCTCTATGAATCTGTACAAGTTATTTAATCTCTCTGAGCCTATTTTCTATAAGATTTTAGGTGGCATTAATTGTTTTATAGGTAGTAACAACAGTTGTAGTAGTAGTAACAGCTAACAGTTATTGGGTTCTTTCTGTGTGCCTGGTCCTGTGCTAAGTGCTTTATCTGTATTAAAGCATTGAATCCTAGCAACAATCCTATGGAGTAGGTACTATTATACTTGTTTTTACAGGTGAGGAAACTGAGGCACAAAAAGGTTAAATAGCTTGTCCAACAATTAATGCCACCTATAGGATTACAGAAAACCCTGGCGGCATAGTGGTTAAGAGCTACGGCTGCTAACCAAAAGGTCGGCAGTTTGAATCCACCAGGCACTCCTTAGAAACTCTATGGGGCAGCTCTACTCTGTCCTATAGTGTTGCTATGAGTTGGAATCAACTCGACGGCAGCTAACCAAAAGGTCATCAGTTCAAATCTACCAGCCACTCCTTGGAAACACTATGGGGCAGTTCTACTCTGTCCTATTGGGTTGCTGCGGGTTACAATTGACTTGACGGCAATGAGTTTATAGGATTATAAAAGGTATAAAAAAAGAACGCATGTGAAAGCACTCACTACAATGCCTTGTATGTAAGCAGCACTCAATAAATGTTTGTTGAACCTGAAAGAAATAGGAGAGTGAGATTGGGATACTCAAAGAAGTAGTGAACTAGAGGTGGAATTGTTGGCCAAGTGGCGTGTATACCAGAGTGCTAAAGACTCAGTACAGTAAGAAAGGATAAAGCCATTCTAAGGAATGCCACATGCCCTCCCAGGAAGATTTGCCCCACTGCAGCTGCTCATATCACCTCCTGAAATGTACCCACCCTCTTTCCCTGTTTAGACAGACACCTCTGTAGAGTACCATCCACATGCAAGTTATGAGGCCTGTGACACTACTCCCTGACTTTCTCAGCTCCATCCTCTGCACTGAAATACCAGCAGAAATCAAGCCCAGAGCTGAGTTCTGCTGCCAGGTTTGCTCCAATCTCTTACTTGTACACAGTACTTTAAAATGTACAAAACACTTGTACATGTATTTTATCCTTGTAGTAGGCAGGATTAACAAAATTACACAGATGAGGAAACTAAGTTTTTGGGAGTTTAAGTTACTTGCTCAACATACAGGGCATTGGTTCTCAATCCAGGGTGATTTTGCCCCCCAGGGAACATTTGGCAATTTTTCTGGAGACATTTTTTATTGTCACGACTAGGGAGGTACTGAAGCCCTGGTGGCACAGTGTTTAAGAACTCAGCTGCTTACCAGGAGTCAGCAGTTCAAATCCACCAGCCGCTCCTTGGAAACCCTATGGGGCAGTTCTACTCTGCCATATAGTGTCGCTATAAGGTGGAATCAGCTCGACAGCAACAGGATTTTAGTTAGGGGAGTACTACTGGCATTTAGTGGGTAAAGGCCAGGGATGCTGCTATACATCCTACAATGCACAGGACATCCCCCACAACAAAGAATTATCTGGTCCAAAACGTCGTTTATGCTGAGGCTAAGAAACCGTGTTATTCTGCTGGGGAAAAGCAGCTCCACAAAAAGCCCTGTGTCGGCCAGGGCTGTGCCCCTTAACCCTTATTTCTTGTTATCTATTGTCACCGCTAAGCCAGTAGTACCCCCTAGTCATAACAATAAAACTTTAACTCTTGTTCCAAAGCTCAAGCTTTGGAGGATTCTTGTTTATTTAAGGGACGATTACCTTACAAATAAGAGCAAATTATGGGTAAGACAGAAATTCAAGTTGGTGGGGCTGGGAGGATCTGAAGGCTAAGCAAAATAATGCTGGGAGTTCTGATGGGCACAAAATTGTTCATTTTTCACATGGTCCTAAGAAAGGCAGGCGACCTCTCCACATATGATCACAGTACTGTAGTCAACTTTATAACTGTAAAATATAATTTCATAAAGAGACAACTGGCTTATTTTCTTTAAGATTATAAATTATAATTGTTAGAAAGTAATTTTACTTTAAAGCTACTCAACTTTCATTTACTAAATTATTTGTTCTTCCCTAATATTTGTGTACCGAGAAGTGGAGTGCAGTCATGCTTGTCGCTGAATGCAGTGATGGCAAATGAATATAGGTGACATTAATGAGAGTAATGCTCAATCTATTAGTAATCACAGGAAACTGCAGTTGAGCATTTTGGTTAAGATAGTCAACAAATGCAAAAGATAAACGAGGGCTGCCTCTTAAATAAGAGTTACATATAGTGTGTCAAATACTGCTCGGCTTTTCAATCAAACCAAGAAGAACAGAGGGAAGTGTTATTCCCAAGTGAGGAATTTTAGAGCATTCTAGGCAAAGATACATACTGCATGCAAGTGATACGACACCTTAATTAGATTCAACCAGCAGACTGTATTACACTACGACTCGGAACAATAGTTCTGAGCTAAGATTACAATAAATTTCAAAATCTATAATGTGTGAAATTAAATTCCACAATAATGCATAAAAGTCCTAATTTGAATCAATTTTCAACTTGCAAATACATGAAAAACTAAAAAATGAAATTCAGAGTAGTAGAAACAAAGAATATACAGTATTGGTAAATAATATTAATTAGGGAAGCTAAATCTCTACTGAACAAGAATTAGACGTTTTCTACTATATTCATTCCACTACTACAAAGATATATGATTTGCCAAAAATATCAAAACTTGAATCTAACATCTACTACTAGGTATAATACTTTTATATTATTTTAAGGTAAACCCTCTCTTCCCCAAAAGATTAATCCAGGACCCACTAGTACACTCAAATAAATAGAGAACATTGAAGTTAGTATGTTGGTACATTCACCTTGTATTGATGAAACAATACATTAGTAATTAATAGCATTAATTCTGTGGCTGCCATATGAATGTGAACTTGCAGTACAACAAATGAAAGCAAAGAAATAACAGAGGCTTAAGATACAGACAGGTTAAAAAAATAATAAAATAAAACAAAGCTTAGAGTTAAGTTAATTAGGAACACCACAGATATAATGTAGTTCAATTTCAGCGGGGTATTAACAATCATTTATTTTATCTTTGTGGATAAGACTGTAAAATCTCAGTTAGCTATACCATCAATACCCAGAACACTTGGGAATGGTCTTGTT